TTTCTAATGAATTATGTTCTAGAGGTATTGAGCTATGAATTGTAAATATAAGAAGGAACATACTTTCCATTCATATCATGTATATTGCATGAGAAAATGCATGAATATCAGAAGTCTTGTTCTGTGACATCATTATATGTTGTCAGTCTGTTTCAATAATACATGTCAGATTCTCCAGTCCTTATTGCATTCAAGTATAGACTTAAAACAGACAAGCTCAAGGGAACTTTGATTTGAAATTTTGTGGTTGCTGGTATGAATTACATGTGAAAAAGTCTAACTGGGCATTCAGTTTGCTTTCATGAGTGCTAAATAAAAGATATGAGTATTCATACAAGCTCCTAATGTCATGCTGTAGGAGATCAGTGAAAAATACTGAATATGAACCCCACATTTGCCCCAGTTCAGAGTAAGTCCACAGCACCCCTTTTGAGCTACACCAGTCTAAGGTCACCCTCCTAGATCTGATAGCTCAGGCCGCTTCAGCTTCTCAGCCTTCTAGGGGTTTGAGACTTAAAAAAAGTTTTTAGAACCTGCAACAGGCAAAAAGTAAAGAAAAATCTGACTTTGAAAACTTTCACAAGCCATCAGGTTCTGGAAGAACAGCTTTCTTGCTGAGGGTTAACCGAGCATAAAGATCCTCATCTTTTTAGAACAGGGGGCACATTTGGAATGTTGGTAACATGTCGCCATGGAAGATGTGGCCAGTCCAAAACACTCATTAATGCTTGAACTAGAGCAGTTTCTCAGCCTTGGGAACTTTAAGATGTGTGGACTTCAACTCCCAGAATTCTCCAGCTAGCCACATTGGCTGTAGAATTCTGGGAGTTGAAGTCCACACATCTTAAAGTTCCCAAGGTTGAGGAACACTTAACTAGAGAGACTGCTTGCTGCAACCACCTCTAGCCCTCCAGAGTGCTGCCTACTACTCTTAGCTTACTTTTGCCTTTTCTTGTAAGCAGATGGATGTGCTTCCAACAAAGCACTGGATGATGGCTACTCACCCTTTTTTTGTTTAAAGAATGCCTTTGGAGGTCAGTTTCTAGAGACTCTTGGAGGTAAAAATTATACTTGAGGCTAGTGCTTTGCTTTGTTTGCAACTTGTTGCCTTCCCACTTTTCTAAAACAAAAGCATAACAGCAAAAACAATGAAAAAATATCAGTTGGGTCATGGAGACTGGCAGGCATGATGGAAAGTATTAGTTAATCCTCTGCATTCCAGATGTATATTCCAGACATTGGAGATCCAGGATGTATCCTGCAATGAGCTGTCCATGGTCCTGGGTGTATTTTGTTGAACCAAAGCAAGATCTTATTGTCATTCTTCTGCTCTCTACAATTATTCAGCCATAGTTAGATGCCTTGTAATCCTCAGCCAGGCCAGAACACCCTCCCTTCTAGTACCCAATCTGGTCTGCCCTGAAAAAATTGAATTTCCAATTGTGCCAAGGCTGCTGGTATCATTTATGGAATTGTGAATAGATTCCCATTTCCAATTTCACCTTATAGAAGTAAAGTAAGGGAGTAAAGGCAAATAGGTGAGAGGCTGGCATTTCCCCAGAAACAATTAGGCCAAATACCTGAATAAAATATATGAAAGTTCAAAATAGGAAAATAGTGCATCTAACATTTATTTTATCTTTCCAACATACAGTTACCTCTAGCATACTGTTGTTGTATCTAAATAAAACAGTAAAATCACCATTGTGTTTTGTTCTCTTCTATGTTCATGCTTACCTGGACCTTAATTACTCTAGTGAGATGTAGTTATCATTTGTCAGGGTTCGAGATAAACTAGTCTTATTTGTATCTCATTTTTCCTCCACTGTGAAAGTCTTTGAACCAGAGATTAATATCCACATTTAACTTCATCAACAGGCAAGAGTAGCAAACATCCCATGGGACTTTGTAGTACAATTGCTGTAGTCTTTATTTCCTTCTGCATCATGGGTTCCCTGTATTTTAGACAAATTTCCATTATTGCAAGCTGTCTAACTAAAAAAGGATTGTAATATAAAGCAAGGACATTAACTTTGAAAAATACAGTACGCACCTTAATTCAACCTGCCCAGCTCCAAAATAGCCTCCAAAGCCATACCTGGGATACAATGAATGCCAGCAATTTGAAATGAAAAGCTGAATCATAATAGCAGAATAAGTCTGCTGCCATTGGCTATTAGAAGGCCAGTAGAATGCCTTTGTAGTTCTGGACAAAGAGAATCTTTCTGCTCCAAATATTTGTGGTACATTAACAATGACTCCATTGCTGGATGAATGGGAAGCATATTTCCTTTTCTTTAATAATCATTATCAAATGTGACTCAGAAAACAAAGCACAGACATAAAAGTATAAATACCATTTTCCTAATAGGCAATACTGCCTGGCAACTATACCTCTCAGAAGTAATTACTAAACCAAATTTGAATGTGTTGTTGAGTGGGGTTGGGCTACTGAGGCATGAAAAGAAGAACAAAGAATTAGTTGATAGTTGGTCTGTTTCCACTGTCTTCACTGACTTCTGCTACAATTTCAGTTTCCAAGTAAAAATATGCTTTATACTAATAGGAATGTTTAATTGAGGAGACAAATGTCTTTCTTAGCTGTTGGGGAAAAATTCCATTGGGAATATTTCCAGGTTTCAGGATGTAAATAAATGCAGCTGTTTCATCTAATTAAGTGGCTCATTTTTAATTTTTTTTTAAAGCAGCCTATTTGTCACTGAAAATGGATATGGCATAGAAAATCATCTGATATCCGCCAAGCTGAAATAACCTCAAACTTCATCACCTTGCTTGGCATTTTGGGGTGGAATTTAAGGAAGAACAAAGTGTGGGACCAGTTGTTGACTTATTATACTTTATGAGACTTGCATTAAGTAAACGCCTTTTCCTGAGATGGACAGGAATGTTATCCAGTTACCGACAAAATAAATGATGGCTTTTACCATATTTTTCTTCATATAATGCTCTTCATATAATATTTCTTCATTTAATGGCTAATTCCAATTAAAGGATATACTTTATCTCCTCATTTTGTATGGGTTCTAGAATTTTCTTTAAAGAATACTGTTTAAGTATGCTGAAGAATAACATTTAAGGCATCCCTTGACAGAAGTCACAAAATAGAAGAGGTGGAAATAGACAGCATAATAATCAAAAGTAGTGGAAATACGCAGCATAATTATTTGCTCAAAACCAAATGTTCTAAGGTTCATAAAATAAAATAGCTAAGACTTTTTTTTTATTATTCTGTTAGGCATCAGGGAATAATACTGTGGTTTTTATTGCAAGAGTAATTTTTACCTGAGAAGTGACTCAAATATATATACTTTATGTTTGGTGTGTATTGATTTTAAGGTGCTTTTTCATTTTACTGTTGTAGACAGTGATATTGGCATACATATGCTCTGTCTGTTAATCATAAGGATTCCTAAGGGCTTCAGAATCTTTTAGGGTAGCTTACTACATCAAAATGCTTTGAGAAATTTTCCCCCTGTGCATCCGTCAAACTCCCTCTCTGTGCTGATATTCAGAAATGTTTTGCTTCAAAGAAATGTTACTATGACTTGAGGAATTTCTGCAAGACTTCCTGCTGCAAAAGAACACCTACTGTACATAAACAAGACACTGCAAATAATTAAGAAGAAAATATTTGAAGTGACACTTCACTAAAAGATTATGATGTGAATTAACATGAACTAACTTGTTAGATTATTTATAGTTCCTTGGTATTGACAGAGTAGATAATGAATGAGCTCTACTGTTCTGTGTTTATCAAAGAGATGGAATTTGATTGTGAGTCCTTTTTAAGCATTCAGATGTCTAGTCATTGAGAGAATGGGGAGGTCCATGCCATATCCTGCCCCATACCATCACCCCCATCTCAGTTTTCTCATGTGAAACAGGAAGGTCTGAAAGGAAATTGTAATTGTCTTCAGTTGGACACATTTATAATCCACATAATCAGGAATCTTGATCCTACAGATCCTCCAGCTCTCCTGAAAGTCAGGCCAGTGCATGGCTGTTTCTAGCATAAAGGGTAGCAAAATCCCATTCAAGAGTGGAAACATCTCAAAGTAAAGTTTATTCACAGGACTGTCAATTTTAGAAATAGATATAGCCTTTTGGAAAAGACAATGTGAAAGCAGAAAAGTGCCCTATACTGCAGCACAGGTAGTAGAAATTTCAGGAGGTTCCACAAGAGGGAGGTAAAAAAAAGTAAAAATGGCGGCCCTTTCTTACATGTGTTACATGTGTGATATACATAAAAGAAGCAGGGCTTCTATTGTACAGTTGTGACTGCCACTCTTTTGACTCTCCTCATGGACACCCCTGGGAATGGCTACATGTTTTGAGTTTCAGAAATGACATTGCCACTTTTATAGCTAGTTTCCTTGTTGAAACATATCTTCAATTTATCTTATGTATTTTCTATACAGAAAGTTACCCTGGAATTCTATATCGACATCCATGCTCACTCCACTATGATGAATGGCTTTATGTACGGGAACATTTTTGAAGATGAAGAAAGATTTCACAGACAGGTTATCTTCCCGAAGCTACTCTGTCAGAATGCTGAAGACTTCTCCTTTGTAAGCAACCTTTCTTTTACTGCATGCCTTTTTTATCAAAGATCTTTTTAATTGTAATAAATAGGGGCTAGTCACAAAGCTTTAGAAATCTAACATGAACTGGAAATTAGTCAAATATTTTAATATTTAGATTCAGCTTTTTTGCAAGAAGAGACATAGGCTTATATGATGATTATATGAAAATTATCACATAATAACCAGTAATTTAACTGTTAATAATAATAACCTGTTACATAAAGACCACTTATACAGTAACTACTTTAAAGGTAGGGTGATTTTGGAAGGGTTTTGGGGGAGAATGGTGGAAAATATCTACTATACTTCCAAGCTGTACTGTATATGTTGCAGAGTCACTGCTGAAGCTGTTAATGAAGGCTCTATGGTAGGTTTACCTAACTTAGAACCCTTCAGATCTCTTTGGACTACAACTTTTAGAATGACCTGTAATAAGATCATAGGAGAAAAAAGTCCTGTTCCCAATTTCTGAAGCTTAGCAACCAGGGCTTTTTGTAGCTGTAAACTGTGGTAACTTAAACTATAGTCTATTTTCCTAAATGTTATTCTGATCCATCTTTTACATGGAGGTAGAATAAGGCAGCTTGCTGCCAACTGGACAGTCTGTCTTGCCCATCATTTTCTCCATAGAAATGGCCTTAAGGTAGAAAGGCCCCAAGTGAATGTGAACAAGAAGCCCAGTCCGATCCAGCAAGTATCAGGTAGTCCTCATTTAGCACCTGCCTTGTTTAGCAACCATTTGCAGTTATGATGGTGGTGAAAAAGTAATTCTCCGACCAGTGCCTGCATTTATGACCTTCACAGATCTGTAAAGCAAAGCAAAACTGAAGTAAGATTGTAAGCACAGTTGTGGTTTCACTTGATGACTGCTTTGCTTAACGACTGAGTTGCCAGACCCAATTATGGTTGCTAAACGAGGACTACCTGTAATGTTGTTCATGCATTGCTCTGTTTGTATGATATACACTGATGTTAGTACTACGTTCTTGTAGTATTGGTTTCAACTGGTGATATATGTGAACCAAATAAAATTATTTCTGATCCATAATTCAGACAGCAAAATGTTTTGGGGCAGCCTTGATGATGATGATGATGATGATGATGATGATGATGATGAATTCAATTTATTCTTTAGTTATTCTAACTATTGCTGGGCAATGTCAAATGGTATTTTCCTATCTGCATCTTTCCTGGGCCACCTCAGTTGGCATCTTATGTCTACTGTGCATGAATAAAGTAGAAAACATTCAAACATACATCACACTTCAATGCCTGACTTTCAGAAGGTTGTTTTTACACCTATGCTGCATCTGCTTCTGAGATCACTGCTTTGTCTGGAGGCATAACAGGAAAGGGATAGAGCCTAAGCTATCTATCCGTGCAGTCAGTTATGTCCACATAAAGCTGTGTCCCTTTTTCTTATTGGTTAGTTGTGTGCCTTCTGTGCCCTGAATAACATTTCACATAATAAAATGAAGTTATGCTTAGATCTCCCCAAATCACCACCTTGCAATCCATTGATTTCACTGGACTGCAATCTTGTATGATTTTCAGAATTTTTTCGTAGGCAGGCAAAACATAGAAAAATCTCTGACCTTTTCTCAGAAAGAAATATTTCCTAAGGAATTAAGGTTCAGCTTTAAGCTAAATGAACTGCCATATTCAAAAGTGTTAAATATTATCTTTGAATAGCAGATGCCTGGGACAAACAACTGGGGAATGCTAATACCTTTACCTGCACCTTACTAGAAGCATAAGATGGCAAGTCTGAAAATAGCACAATGGATTAAATGGATCTTTGGCTTGATATAACAAGGCAGTTCTTCTACATGCACAAAAACATGTCTTGATGCAAGCAATTTTCATTTTGTATATTGTACTGTATTTCTTCCCAATTGTATTAAACAATAGTAATTTTCTCCCCCACCATGAATTTCATGTCCCTTGGTACTTTACCTTTATGATGATGTGAGACAGTAAGCATTACTAGCTGATATTCCAACTGGTGATTTGTATTTAATTTTGTATTATTCCAATCACTGCCCACATTGTAATCACCTATGGTAAAGATTTGAGGGCCTAAGGAAAAAAGGAAGCTAAAAGGCCTTTGTGCCTTTTGCTTCACTGAAAGAAAGAATTAAAAAAAGCAGCTGAGTCTGCATATTGGAAGCAAAGCAATCAACAAAGAAGACCATTTGTCTACTGGCAGTAATACTCGCTAGAAGATTCCCTCTTATCAAAGAGTAATAGAGAAAATTGTTTGCCTCTTGTGGGTTCATTTAATACAAATTTGCAAAAAGCAACAACAAATTTTACACAATAGAGTTGAGGAAATTAGGATGAGTTTCCTTGCCATGCTTAGATATGTATTTCCCAAAAAGTGAGGGGATCAAGGGATCAATTAATTTTTTGTTTTTTGTTTTTGTTTTGTTTCCAGGATTGCAAACTGTTTGTGGTTCTAATGCACAGAAAAGTAGGCACAATTGTAGTAGAGTTCCTATATGGTTTGATTGATCAGTTAGGTTTGTCTTAAATTCTAGGTTTGCTTTCTGGCATTCTCCTTGCAATATTATCTGGCCAGGATAATATTGTCTATTATATACTCTCGTTCTTTGATCCAAATAGGGATCATCTACCCAATCATTTAATGAGAAGCAAGTTTGCATTTTGCTTTTTCTCAAGAAAATAAGCTGCGGCTAGGACTGACCAGGAAGCAACATCAAGACAATGTTCTATTACATTAACCATTGATAACATCTTTGAAAAGATTATTCTTGCTTAAAATATTTGCCAAGTCTGAGTGAGTTACGGGGGACAAAAAGCACTGAGAAAAATGTGAAATGAATTCCCCTCCACACCTACATTTATAACACCATTTAGCATGCATAATAGCTCCCCTTTGATGTCCAATACTCATATTCCATTAATAATTAATGAATATTTTTTAAGGCAGGATGCTTGCACCAAGCCTTCTGCTACTAACATATTGGTGGCAGAATAGGATTCACCAGTGCTGTTGTCACTTCTCTGGATTTTGCTTGCTAGCAGTAAGCGTAGATTCAAGGGGATTTTTGAAGATCAACTAAAGACCAAATTTAGGCAAATTTGTTTAAGAACTACCCTCCTGAAGATTTTTTAATGTTTAATTAGACTCAAAATTAGCACAGCTCTATAGCAGAATGGATTTCATGTGTGAGGAGTTTATTCTCATTGATGATTGTACAATGGCTACCCACTCCTGTTGTGCTCCTTAAATTTATGCCCTGCTGCTGCCTTATAATGCTTCCCATGAAGGAAGGCATAGTTTTTTCAACCATGACACTCACACAAATTGCAGTTGAAAAATAAACATTCTGTCTGGGATTGTCCTGGGCCAGAATTGGCTTCCTCTACACAGCTACAGATTTTCTGGTTCTATTTCTACATCCCCAATCAGTTTTTAACTAACTCGACCCACTGAAGATTCAGAATTGGTAGCTCATTATATAACATTTGTGCAACTCATGGGGTAAATGAAACAGCATTTATTAAGAGGGGGGAAATCAAACCTCTACTTGTGAGCTTATGTATGAGAACATAATTTAATGTATAGCAACAACATGAGAGAGAAAATAGGCATGGAATATTCAGTGGTGTACAATTTTAAATACTAAAGTAAAACAATATTTATTTTAAATATTAAAGTAATATTTACAATATTACTTTATTAACAACAGTAATGGTAGTAACTGTATTATAAGAAAGAGAACCAGCACAGAAGAAAAAACATAAAAATATTATAAAACTTACTATTCTGTATTATTAGGCAATACAGAAACACAATTAACCCACAAATATTCAACACAGTTTAACATATCAGAAGAAATTCAGCCATTCCTAACTAATTTATTAGCTGTGTCCTTAGTCTGATAAACAACAGACTATTGCAATATGGAACATAGGTGCTAACTAGGTTTCAGCTCATCTGTTTATTGCTGAGAATTAGGTTTTCAACCATTCTGTCTAAAAAAGGCCTTTGTAAACCTGAATCTTCTTTTTTCCTTAGAAAAAGGAGGCAATCATTTCTAACTCTGAATACTTCTATGTAAGGATGGCATTTTAATTCAATGAAAGATATTGTAAATAAACATAAATAAAAGAGCAGAAGTTTGGGTGTGTTAGCTTAGTTACTGTTACAAAGCTGTATATAAAGTTCAGAGAAAGAGGAAGAAATATTCAAGTAATAAACACTTGAAACTATACCAAATGGCCCAGATGTCCCTTCTAATTCTATGGATTTTTTCTCCAAGTTCTTCCCCGAAAGGTAAATGTTCTTTTCCAACCTCTCAACACACTATTTGCACAACTTTGAATTCAACTATTTATGATTTTCTCTTTCCAAAGTAATTTCATTAGTTCGTTACTATAAGTCTATGAAGGTACTAGAGCCCTTCATTCTTTTTGAGGGGAGGAGAGTCTTTCCGTTAAATGAAAACATTTCAGATTTTTTTTTTAATTTCCTAAATTTGGGCTAATGTGCAAAATGTCTCAGTTATTATATTCTCCCCATAGCACAGCTTTGATATCTGAACTAAGTATAGAATCATAGTTATCAGATGAAGCTGCCTCTCATAGTGCAAATATGTTTACTATTAAATAATCATGAGTCCTATAATGCCAGCCAGAACTTAAATCTCCACAAATGGCATTAGTAAATTAGCTAATAGGTTATGAAAGGTTGCTCAGCAAACTTCTGTTTTCTCATCTTCTGAAGGAATGTCATGATTACACGATTAAAATAGAAATGTATGATATTGATTTAAGGCTAATTCCCCCATTATCTGGGATCAGTCATCCATTAGTTCCTTGTCCATTTCACAGCTCATTTCAAAATGTTGGTGCTCAGCTATAAAACCCTGTATCATGGCCCAGGAACACCTGTACCGCCTTCCACTGGCTGTGGCCATCAATTGATTTCTTCCTCTGATAGCCACTCAACCTGAGTTGGTTGGTGGCAACTGGGGAATTCAGTTGTGATGCCCCAACTTAGCAATTCTTTCTCCTGGAACACTTGCAGGCATTAGGCCTTTTAAAGACAGTGAATTTCCTAAGATAGTTAGGTGCAGCATGCAGAAGTACTTAGTTCTGACTCGAATTTACTGATTATCAATCTGTTGTTAGCTGACTGAGGCAGTAGAAAGGAGGGGCGAAGAAAAACAATCAGCTTACAAAATGCAGCTTGATTACGAATGTGTCCATTTTAGCAACAACAATAAAAGTACAGACTTCAAACTTGAAAATATCCCCTTTTTATTCTCTTCCTCAATCTATCTTCCTATGCAGATATTCTCCCTATTTTAACCAGTGACCTAACTTCAGGTTGCCACAATGTTGAATTTCTCTCCTACATACACACGTATCTGAATATGTGACACAATTTATGATTGCCCCTGTAGTTTTTCCCCCCAAACTGATCGGATAAAGTTCAGTGTCAGAAAAGGACAATTTCTTCTTAATGTTCCAATCAAACTTTGTTTTTCTGAAGTTTTGACAAAGTCCAAGATTCAACATTTCAACCTCCCCAAGCTCCTCTAAAAGTCACTGCCACACTGTAAGTTTTAATGACAGAAAAGGGAAATTATTAACTATCAGTATATCTCCTAGGATTTGTTTGGATTAAAGTGGTAGACAAATTGCATTAAAAAAATAAACAGTCTGTGTAAGGAATAATTATATAATTATGCTAAATTAAGTTACTTTTTTTAAAAAGTCACATTTAGTTTTTGTCTAAACCTTATTCATTGTTGAAGTGAAATGTTCAGCTCTTAATTGAAAAGCCAAAAGCCATCCAAAAGCTTTACCCTGAAGATATTATGGTATACTTTAAATATTGCTACTGTAGAAAATTTTTAATTTATATTTTTTATTTTTCTTTCAGTAATATACAGTACAAAGCACTAAATATGTAAACATCTCTGCAAAATACAATCAATACATGTAAAAAAGAAAAGAAAAGAAAAAATCAAATGAAAAAGAGAAAGAATATTGCTAGCAATGCCTTTGTTGTCATGTTTTTCTTTCCCATATCACTTCTATTTATCATTTCCTATTCGCTTGTTTCCCTTCCTTTGTTCTTTTACAATTTATTCTTCACTTCTTCTCAGGTTTCACTAGTTTTCTCTCCTTTCATAATAAAATAGCAGAATTCCCCTGCAGAGCCAGATAATCAATATCTTTGATAGTGCTGTAGAACTCCTTAGCTCAAGTTGGTGGGAATATTACTACAGCTAATAGGAAACAGAATTTCATCTACTTTGAATTAACCTGTAAGACTCTATGGGTTTTCAGATGAGAAACTTTGAAACTAATAGAATGCTAGAAACCCAGCAGGTATTTCTGAATTGCCGTTTCCCTGCATACCTTCACTTATCAAGGTCTGCCATGTATGGATATGTATCCGTTCCTCTGAAGGCCTAATTCAAAGAGAGAGGAGAAGTTTTGTGCTAAATATATATATATATATATATCTGTATCCTTGTTTTCTCAGGCTCTGATTCCTGACAACTGTGCTACCTCATGGAGCGAAGCAGCATATGGTCTTGTCTGAAAAGATATTTGGCCTCATGGAGATGTGATGGGAAGAGAAGTCTTTTGTTGCATTGTCAGTAGTTCACCTGCAGTCTAGAAAGAGTTTCCTCAACCTCAGTATTGTTACTTCTTCACAGTATAATACAGTTGCTTCTGTATACATAGACCTAATAAAAAAATTAAACTTGACTCTTTTCATAAGTATGGGAAAGCCTATGAACAATATAGAAAGCGTCAACAATTTTAATAATTATAATTTTAATATTTCAGTAAATTCTCTCCTTAGATTCCAATCTTAAAGCCTCATTTAGTGAGGTGATGCATTTCCGTGATCGCATGTCCAGAGAAGTGCATATTGGATTAGGGCTGTAATGTTAGAGTAGAGTATGGCTTAGCCTTCTCCCAGTGGCTACGTTCCCAATGAAAATCTCCTCCTACAAATTATTCTTTACTTTTCTAAGTAAAATGTTTGCATGCAGCTCTATCAACATTCTTGCAAGGATACTGGTTTCAGTTTATTTGTTTATTTTTTAAGATGCATCATATAACCTTAAGAAAAAAAAAACTGCAGTGCCAGTCAGATGGGCTCACAGTTGTACCACAAAATCAATGACTTATCTGGAGTTTATGAAAGGGAATTGAGAAGAGTGAAAACAAAGGAACTAATAAAAAGTCTATATACATAGAAGATGTAATGCATTTCATGCTAGATCTCTGTCAGTATATATTACCTGAGAGCAGTTTGTGAAATTCTTGGCACTTAAGCAAGTCAGCAGTTGTCAGAAATGTGATGTGGCATGTGGAGTTTAGGGAAATAACTTCCTGGGTGTTGGGGAACCTCTCAATGCAGAAATCCTGTTACATCTGCTCTCATCTTTTTCCTTACAGTCAAGCACTTCCTTCAATCGAGATGCTGTCAAGGCAGGCACGGGGCGTCGCTTCCTTGGTGGCTTGCTGGATGACACTTCTTACTGCTATACCCTGGAAGTCTCATTTTACAGTTACATAGTTGGGGGAACTACTTCTACAGTCCCATATTCAGAAGAAACATGTATCCTTTAAAGAAGTTTCTCCTTGCTCTGACACGATCTGGAAACTGAAGGTAAACCAAACGCTTAATAATTAGTGTTTGTAATGACTGTCCTAGGAAATGGATTAATGTAGCGACAGTGTCTTAGGAAAGTTATTAAATGAAGTTTCTCATGCAAACCTTTCTCCTGAAGTGAACTTCATCTCTAAAAGGCCTTTCTGGGAGGGTTTGTCAAGGCTCATCTACCAAACCAGGAAGATCTCTTCTTTACTCTGCCTGACTCTTCTCTTCCCCATCAACCCTTTGTGCCTAATTATGCAAGGTGGATCCCCAAACCTACTGACAGACTTTTCAGGACACATGTGAATTAAAGAGAAGGAGATAGAGAAAGGAGGCAGGAAATCGTCCTATTAGGAACTGCCTTAAGTTATTCTTATATATACATATCTCCCTGTTCTTATACCCTTTGGGACAATATGTTGTGGAAACAAATTTATCCCCCATCTGCTCATTCTTCATATGAGCAGAATAATCTAAATGTACACCACATTGTGTGACAAGTGGTAAATTTGTTATCTCTTAAATCTCTTCTGAGCCTTGGTCAAAGTTGCTAAGAAACAATTTTAGTCTATGTAAGAAAATGCTAATGAGTATTCCAGGAAGGCTATTCTTCTCTTGGGTATGTATTCTCTCTCTCTCTCTCTCTCTCTCTCTCTCTCTCTCTCTCTCTCTCTCTCT